AACTTGTTTTCAATTCAATCAGTCTCAGCCAATAATGTACGTTCCTACCTGTTTATGGGTTATAATGCCTGTTGCAGAAAAATCAAAATATCAATACAGTACGCAGTTTGCTACGCAGCTTACGATGATAGTCTCCGGCGGTAACCGGATAGGTTATCGGCGCCATTTTGCTTTACCGATTATCCCGGCTCTGTAGTCAAGGTACTTTAATTCGGTGCAGCGCGGCTGATCGGATTCGCTGTGACTTTCGGCGAGAACGTCGCCAAAGGAAAAGCTCTCTCCTTTCCCGCCGATAATTAGACGTGCGCAATCCGCACAATCGTGGCTGTGCGTTCATTCGTTACAAAAACTCCCTTCCCTCCGGAAAATTGCGAGCATCACCGCCCGGCGAGACTACACAAACGCTGTCGTCGTCGTCGATTAATTCGGTGTCGAGCTTTCGCGCACTACGACGAGTAGACGAGCGCGTTTCTTCCCCGCGTGAAAGAGATGAAAGCCGACAAAGGTACGGTTTGCGTTAATCGGATTACCCTTCGTTTTCTCTGACTTCCGGGGGAGGAATTCGCGGACACGCGCTTTCGGGAACAACAGCGTTGTCGAATAATCCGCGTCGCTGCGCCCCGGTTTTTCCGCTCGTACGACGCGTGTTTGTTCCGTAAACCGGCGAAATTCGTTACAACGACGAACGACGCGCTCGAGAATTAATTCCATCGGCCGGCGAGGTGACCTCTTCGCGCTCGTTTGTCCCTCAAACGGACAACGGTGATCGCGTATTTCGCGCTGAAATACGCGAGACCCCGTCGTTGTTTTCGCGGCCGCACACCCGGTTTTCTCGCCGATAGTTCGCTCCGCCGGAAAAATACCGCGAGAATATTCCCCAGCTATTGCGAGCTTTCGCATTGCGATATTCGCCCCTATCTGTATCTCAATCGTTCCAAAGCCTCCCCGCACTTCTCCTAACGCTTTTTCGCCGCAACCCCTCGGCGACGACCGGCGTTCTCTCCGCTCAACGTCGCAATTCACGCTCGATTTAACTGGCGGAACGAATTTCTAAGCGAGAATCGCGACCTCCGCGAACGGTGCGTGTAAAACCGCCTTCTCGAGTCATCCGTCCGTCCGTTCGTCCGTCCGTTCGTTCGTTCGTTCGTTCGTTCGTTCGTTCGTTCGTTCGTTTTCTCAGCTTTTCGTGACGAGCTCGACGCTGTTTAAATCTCATCGAGGGGGGGAAAAATAAAAGAGCCTCGGAGAGGGAGAGAGGGTGAAGAAGAGACACAGGGAAAGGAAAAGCGCGTAATTTCGCCGGGACGTTTTTGCGTCGCTGTCAAAGGATCTGTGTTACGGTTCGTTGTTTCTACAATTCGGCGCCGGCGCTTTCTTTGAGAGAGGAAGAGGCTTCAGAATACCGTCGGGCAATCTCAGACGACTGTCGCCGTTCTCGATATCCGCATAATCTCACTTTGTTGGGAGGGGAATCGCGGCGATCATTCTTGCTAGACGGCCGGCGCGCTGCGCTAACTCGACGCCGAACTCGGACGAAGAAGTCGCGAAAGAAACGAACCCGATCTTCCCAGTTTCTTCCTCTCTCTTTCTCTCTTTGCTATTCCGATCCGTTCGTCGACCGTCGATATCGTCGACTCGGTCTGAATTTCGACGGAAGTGAAAGAAACGCAGTTTGATTTACGTATGCGCACGTGGCGGGTAGCGCAAATCCGAATCTTTCCGCATGTATCCGGCGTCGTATGCAAATATATTTCGACGGATTGCGACGGAATTTGCCCGACTTGACCGTGTAACACGGTGAAATAAATCCGAGGGAAATGCATCCCGCACAGTCGCGACGCCGAAGAGAGCATATCTGATACGCCGGCAGTGACATCGGCCGCTAACGCGAAGATGCACCGAGAAAGAGAGACTGTGTGTCGATTAATATTCCGGCAAGTCGTGGGTTGTATCGTCCACCGGCGAAAATATGGAGCTAATTTAATCCTCAACTGCCGACGACCGAAGCCGCTCCTTTTGTGAAACGATTGTTCACTGAAATGCCGCATTGTGCGAGAAATTCAATCCGGTTTACGGACAACCCCCGGTCCGTAATTGACGATACTTCTGCGATTTTCGCTGCCGTGACGTCTTTCGTTAACAATTAACGTTCCAAGATCGGGAATAGGGGGGAATGTCAACCGGTCGGCGCTCAAGGTTGCCTGCAAGGCTCCGCACTGCGGTAAGGTGACGTAAAGGTGGGTGTACACTGAACGAACGGGTCGCGAGTGAACGGGGAACACTGGCTTTCGCTGTCACCGCTCTCGGAAAATGCGTACGCCTTAACGAACCGAACGTTCCCTGGGAAAAGTTCGACCAAAATTAATTACAGTCATTTTCGTGGTCTGAACTATGTATCTTCCTGTGTCTCCCAAGTCTAAGATTGATATGCGCGAAATTCGTCGAAGAGCCGTTGCAGCATTCAATCCGCCGATTGCTTGTGTGTGTACAGCCTTGTTGAATAACAATTGCCTACAGTTAGCGTGTTTTTTCACGCCCATTCGGCCAACTCACGCTCGCGTTTCTCTGAAAACTCGATCACTCGACGGTAAAACGCAACCGATGCGGACGTCCGATGGTTCGTTCGGCCGGTGTACACCTGCCTTAACGTTCGGAGGCGCCGACTTGGCGCGGACTCGCTCGTTCGTACGCGCATTCTCCAGGTACACATTATCACGGGGAAGGCGCGACATACGCGAGAATCGCGCGGGGAAATGGCGTTCAAACGTTTTCCCTCTCTTTCTTTTTCTCCCCTTTTTATTTATATCGGTTACAAATCAATGGCTGGATAATTGGCGTCGAGTTCTCGCCGTTTCTCTCTCTCTCTCTCTCTCTCGCGAAAAGTCAATTTTCCTTCCCCCCTCCGTTTCGTTAGAGTCGACGCACTCTTTAATAATAACCGCGCCGGTATTCTCCGGCGTAGATGACTTCGAGCGGGGAAAACAATTTCGTCCTTGCGAGATTTCGAGAGAGACTCGCGACAAAGCAATCTGTCTTATCTCATCGTGAGATAATTACGCAACTGGGAGAGAAAGTCGCGAAGAGCCGTAACGTCGCGCTCTCGTCCTGATTCGCGGGCATTTCTTCGCTGCGAGAAACAGCGTTTAACAACGGCGTCTTGTCGCTTATCCCATTGTTTACCCGGGAATTGCGTCGAGATGTGCATCGACTTGCGGGCATCGCGTCGGTCCGGATTAGAGAGCGCCGGATTCGAGGATACTGGAAAGATAGGTAAAATCCTGCCGGCCCTATCGCGCATCCCGAGCCTGATATCGCGTCCTGGAACTGTCAGCCGGGCCGAGCGATCGCCGGGTTAGATTCATGAGGGACCGCCGATGTACCCGGCTTAGTGTATCTTCGGAAACGGAAATCGAGCGATCCGACGATCCAATACACCGAAACAGCGGCGCATTTGATGCCTCCATTTTCTACAAATAGTCTCTTCGGAAGAACAAACGCACCTACGTGTTCTTTACCGTTAAAGAGAGACGGTAATTAGCAACGCCAATTTATGGCGAATTCTCTTCCTGGGTTCGAAAAATAATACCGCTTACTGATTCACACGAAGATGCGAAACAGGAATTTAAGGCGTCATCTCGGCGAAGTCAAAGCAGAAGTAAATTATGTCGTTGGAGGTGAATTTATTTCGCTATCTCAGCTCCTACTGTGTTGCAGGATCAAAGAGTTAACGTAGAGCCAAAATTTCGACCTGGAGGAACAGACTCGAAACGAAATTTGGATGCTCGTAAGGATAATTTACGTCTTGCACTTGTCCTGTAAATTAGCGAAAAGCAATTTTGACGATGCTACACTTGTTACTTCCTCTCTTGGAGCTTCGATTCTATAGATTTGATTTAAATGCTACTGCAAAATAACCTGTTTTGATTGTAAAACAGCGAGAATAGACGATCAAAGAGTGAGGAGCAGATTTCTTTTATTAGACGTAGAACTGAGTCTATTTTGTTATCTCAACCACCGGTGTGGAATTGAAGGTCTCAGCATAGTGGTGAAATTGCGGCCGCATTGAAGAAATATAACATTCGCCTTTTCGCGTCACCTTCACTTCGCCGCAAAAGTTACGGCTGTACAAGCTATAAAAGATCACGGCGGTTCTTTATAAGCCGTAAAAGGGGGAATAAAGACATGTAACAAGTTCACTTATACGTGGAATAATACGGGGTTTGAATCTTTCATAAGAAGCGGGCCTCGATCGAGCGTAACCGTAATGCCGATGGAATTTTAGTTCCCCGGCCTCCGATATGTGAATATTCTATGACACGCTTCCGCACGGCAAATCGCATTTCACGGAACGTGCACGTAATACGAATACATAATTGCGTTCGATTCGTGCCTTTTACCGTTCAATGGAACTCCGTGAAATGGACAATTGAGCAAAGTTAAGAGTCTCATCAATAAATAATACCACCCCCCGGGGCTGAACGGGTATTCCTCCGGTGTCTCACACTCCAGTGATCCATTCCGTCCATCGATCAATGATGCACAAGCGGTAAGGAGGCCGTCTTTGCGCTCGATCGGCTGGAAGCCGGTAGCTGTCGTCGAGGATAACCCCCGGGTTTCTCGCGTTAGACACCACGTTAACCCTCTCTCTCTCTCTAACATTGTTTCGCTGTTTCAGGTGACCGGCTGTACGCGAAACGGGGCCGGAAGTCTGCCAAGCCTCCTCGCTCCGGTGGCCCTGTTCCGCCGCAGGGAGGGCGGAGGGTGCCGACGATGAGCTAGCGACATCACGATGCGTAGGATGAAGCGCGTGCTGCGGCCATGGTTGTGGCTGTGGCTGTTGACGGCCACGGCCGGCTCCTCCGACACTTCCACGAGTTTTCCGCCCGGCGGAGGAAACGCCGCCGGCGGGTCGATCAAGTCGTCGAGCTCGTACGGGGCTGACGCGTCGGAGTTTCGCTTCACCCAGCCCCAGTACAACGTCTCCATTCCTGAGAATTCCATCGGCAAGACGTACGTCGTGCCCGACGCGAGGATGGGCGTAAAACTCGCGTCCGCCGACAGTGACGCCGACATCAAGTATCGTATAGTGAGCGGTGATCGCGACAAGTTCTTCAAGGCGGAGGAGCGCACGGTCGGCGACTTTTGCTTCCTCCTCATTCGGACTCGTACCAGTAACGTCGACGTGCTGAATCGCGAGCGTAAAGACCGCTACGTGCTCGAGGTGCGGGCGAGCAGGCGCGACGTAGGTAGGAGCCGGGCGGTCGAGGCGGACGCCACGGTGGTGGTGAGGATACTCGATACGAACGATCTCAATCCGCTGTTCTATCCGACCGAGTACGAGACCACCGTGACGGAGGACACGCCTTTGCACCGCAGCGTACTCAGGGTAATCGCCGAGGACGCCGATCTCGGGAGAAACGGCGAGATTTACTACAGCTTCGCCGACGAGACCGATCAGTTCGCCGTTCATCCGGTCAGCGGCGTAATCACGCTCACCAGGCCGCTCAGGTAAGCGCGATACTGCGACGTACCGGGTGGGCAGGTTGGGATTCACCCTGCCGATCGACGGACCGCGTCTTACTTAAACATTCCCGGTGGTAAATTCAACTAAACTGAAAGAGGGTTTTGTTTTACACACACACAGAATATTATAAACGTTAAAAGGAACATTTCCGATGGTAAATTCAATTAAACTTTTTCCCCGAGTACGCTTCCGAGCAATTCAATCGTATAACTCGGCTCAGAAGAGGATTTTACTTAGTTACACGCACAGAGAATATTATAACGTATCGATATACTCTTAATCGTGGTCGTGAGATAAAATGGCGTTTAGGTGAAACGATAGTTCCGACAGCCGCACTGAGATCATTTCTATTAACCCTTAAATGCATCATGATGTGCTTCTACGTCGTACGATTTCTCAGCTCGTATCTCAATAAATAGCCACCCCGTTTCAAATTCGTTCAAATTATTTTATAAGAAAAATAAAAAATCACGCATTTAAGGGTTACAATCGGTCACTCTCGGCAATTGAGCCGTATCTTCTTTTAATCTGTAAAATAGCGGCGATACGCGCCAACGAGGAAAAGGCGTTTCTCCCGGCTGTAATTCTTCCACTCGCTTAATTACAACGAAGACAACATCGTCCCTCTCAGTGCGGTCGATCTTCTCAGCGACGCGTCTCTATAGAGACTGCGGTAAAAAAAAAAAATGGGTTTCCAAAGACGCTCCGACTGCGGCGCTTCGTTTTCACGCGTTGGAAATAGCGCGTGTTTCCGGTGGCAACACTAGCGGATCGTCCGTGTCCTCAGGTACTCGGAGCGGCCGCTCCACGAGCTGGTGGTGCGCGCGAAGGACCGTGGCGCTCTGTTCCGCAGCGTGGGCCTCGCGAGCACCGCCAAGGTGACGATCCGTGTGAAGCAGGTGAACCTGAACGCGCCCGAGATCTACGTGCACCACCTGCCGGTGATCGTGGAGAACTCGTACGCCGACATCTACGCGATCGTGCGCGCGATCGACCGCGACGAGGGCCCGCACGGGCAGATCGCGAGCCTGGAGATCGTGGGCGGCGACCCGGCCGGGCACTTCAGGGTGCGGCAGGTCGCCTCCGGCGAGTACAACATCGAGGTGCTGCACCTGCTGGACCGCGAGAGCGCGGTGCAGGGGTACAACCTGACGCTGCGCGCGACCGACCGCGGGGTGCCGCAGCGGTACAGCTACAAGTTCGTGCCGGTGCAGCTGGCCGACCTGAACGACAACGCGCCGGTGTTCAGCCGCGAGATCTACGAGGTGAGGGTGCCGGAGACGGCGCCGATCAACAGCCCGGTGATCCGACTGAAGGTGACGGACGCGGACGAGGGGAGGAACGCGCTGGTCTTCCTGGAGATAGTCGGCGGCAACGAGGGCGGGGAGTTCTACGTGAACGCGGAGACCGGGATGCTGTACACCGCGGTGAACCTGGACGCGGAGAAGAAGGCCTTCTACACGCTGACGGTGTCGGCGATCGACCAGGGGAACGCCGGCACCCGCAAGCAGTCCTCGGCGAAGGTGAAGATCAACGTGGTCGACACGAACGACAACGACCCGACGTTCGAGCAGTCGGAGACGGAGGTCTGGCTGGACGAGAACGAGCCGGCCGGCACGTCGGTGGTGCGCGTCGCCGCGAAGGACCGGGACTCCGGCGAGAACGCCTACATCTCGTACAGCATCGACAACATCAGGAAGGTGCCGTTCGAGATCGACCACTTCTCCGGGATCGTGCGGACGAAGCAGGTGCTCGACTACGAGACGATGAAGCGGGAGTACCTGCTGCACGTGCGCGCCAGCGACTGGGGCCTGCCGTACCGGCGGCAGGCGGAGATGCAGCTGCGGGTGCGGCTGCGCGACGTCAACGACAACCGGCCGCAGTTCGAGCGGATCGAGTGCGCCGGCCACGTGGCGCGCTACGTGCCGATCGGCACGGAGATCATCACCGTGTCGGCGATCGACTTCGACGCCGGGAATATCATCAGCTACCGCATCGTCTCCGGCAACGCCGACGGTTGCTTCGCCCTCGACCCGGCCAGCGGCGTGCTCTCGGTCGCCTGCGACCTCGCCGACCTCAAGGCCACCGAGAGGCTGGTCAACGTCACCGCCACCGACGGCACCCACTTCGCCGACGTGAACCCCGTGCGCGTCCACCTGGTGAACGCGAAGCGGGGCGGCTCGAGGCTGCTGACCGACGAGGCCGGGGCCTTCGAGTGCCACGAAACCGGGGTGGCGCGCAGGTTGACCGACGCGATCGCCTCCGCCGAGAGGAACAACATGCCGTCGCGCGACGACGAGTACACCCTGACGCCCAGCCGGTACGGCGAGAACGTGCACGCGCCCGAGTTCCTCGACTTCCCGGACGAGGTGCGGGTGAACGAGTCGGTGAAGCTCGGCGCGACCCTCGTGCGCATCCGGGCGCGCGACAGGGACCTCGACTACAACGGGAAGCTGGTGTTCTGCATCTCCAGCGGCGACCGCGACTCCGTCTTCGGCATCGACCCGGACACCGGCGACCTCGAGGTCATCGGCTACTTGGACCGCGAGAGGGAGAGCGAGTATTACCTGAACGTGAGCGTGTACGACCTGGGCAAGCCGCAGAAGTCCGCGTCGAAGATGCTGCCGGTGACCGTCCTCGACGTGAACGACAACGCGCCCAAGTTCGAGAAGTCGCTCGCGAGCTTCCGGATCTCCGAGACCGCGCTGAACGGCACGAACGTGTGGCGCGCGAACGCGAGCGACGCCGACCTCGGCGACAACGCGCGGCTCACCTACTCCCTCGTGACGGAGACCGACGACTTCCGGGTGGAGCCCGTCACCGGCGTGCTCAGCGTCTTCGGCAAGCTCGACAGGGAGCGGCAGGAGGTGTACGAGCTGAGGATCCGGGCGAGAGACGGCGGCAACGACCCGGGCCTCTACTCGGACGCGCTGGTCCGCGTCACCGTCGACGACGTCAACGACAACCCGCCCACCTTCGCCCTCACCAGTTACAACGTGAAGATACGCGAGGACGTGCCGGTGTGGACGGTCGTCGCGGTCGTCGACGCGACGGACCCCGACGAGGGCGCCGGCGGCGACGTCGAGTATTTCCTCTCGGACGCCATGGAGAGCGAGGGCTACTTCAAGGTCGACAAAGTCTCCGGCACCGTCAGGACGACCCAGAGCCTCGACTTTGAGGAACGGCAGGTGCACACCCTGACGATCGTGGCGCGCGACCGTGGCGAGCCCGCCCTCTCCTCCGAGACGATGGTGATAATCGAGGTCGTCGACGTGAACGAGAATCTCCACGCGCCCGTCTTCGACGACTTCGTCGTGTCCGCGAGTGTCTTCGAGAACCAGCCCGTCGGCACCCTCGTCGCGACCGTAAGGGCCAAGGACGCGGACCCCCCCGGCGGCGACTCCAGAATCGGATACAGCATCCGTGGCGGCGACGGCGTCGGCGTCTTCTCCGTCGACAACGAAGGTGAGTGAACTTCGCCACTCGTCGAAATCTTTTGTCTTTCCACCGTGTCGAAGGAAAAATGGCGTCGTAGGAATGAAGCGCTTTTTATCACGATAGAATTTCAATCAATTTTTTGCGGGTCGGAGTTCAGTTAGACGTGTGAGAAATTTCAGACTCTTTCGTTGAGAAGAAAGTGTCGATGATCTGTCTCGCACGTTGAGATTTTCCGATTTCTTAAATATCATTTTTCTCCTTCACACGCGCGTATAGCGCGAGTAGTTCGACGAAAGATTTCGCATTCAATTAATTCCCATACTTGTAACTAGTGAAACGTCGTCGATCCGTATTTTTTTTTAAAGAAAAGCTCGTAACATGAAAATCTTCAGCGTCGATGCTTCCTCTCACGATTTAACATTGAGAAACGCAAGTTTCGCTCGCCCACGACGTTCCTTCGACCAGCGCACGCAAAATCGCGAGCGTTTATCGCCGTAAGTATACACGATCGAGAGGATTTCTCACGAATTTCTCCCGCTGCGAGGAATTTTCGCATTTTCGCAAGAGTCGGAATATTAAACGACTTACGGAAACAAAATATGAAAATTGGGGGGAAAAAAGGAAAGCTTGGTCTCGCGCTCGGGAGAATGCACGGTTTGCAACTTTCAAAGGTACTCGCCGTTGCACTCGTTCATCAATATTGGCGGCACTCTTGGTCAATAACTTTTATGCCTTTACCCTCTACGTAAATTGCCGCCGCTCATATTGAATCGAAGAATTTCCAATCAAATATCACGAGGTGTGTGTACATATGTATGCGTCTCTGTGTGTGTGTTGCGCTTCCTTTGAGAAAGGCGAACGAAACGAATATCACGGCCTCGCCAAGATTTGCCAATATTTCGTTCAATAACCGTCGAAAGAAATTCCGCGTGACGAGTTAAACATATTCGACCTCATATTGGCAGCCTCAATTTACCCGTTATAACGTGCCCGGTAACATTTGACGTGTAACTTGAAACGTGAAGTCGAAGAGAATCGATAATGGAGTTGCTCGAATAAATTAACGGGAAATATATACAGTTTCCAGTTTGATCCCGCGGGCCGTTTAATTTCACTTTCGAACTTTTGATGTGATTTTTCGATCGACTTGATTCGCTGAAATTGACCTCCCTGTGAAGACAATATTTGCTCGCGCGAGGAACTCCACGAGTTTCCGAAATTCTGCTCCTGCATTAACCGTGGAAATTCCCTCGAGGTGGGCCAACGGGGAAACCTGACAGGTATAACAGGGCTGTGTTGTCCTTTGATGTTAGGGATCGCTGATTACCGTTTCGTTAAAGCTCGTGCGTAAAGCGAAGGAAGAAAACTCCCGATATTCTCTCGATACTATCGTCGTTTCTGCAATCATATCACGGAAGAGTACGTTTTAGGAAGAGTACGTTTTAGCCGACGTTTCGACCCGAGGAGAGCGCGCCTTCGTTTTCTCCTCGTTTCTCTCGCCGGATGTCCCTCGGTCCTTGGCGCACAAAAGGACGCGCCCTTTCGATGCCGGACGCGCCGTGGCACTGATCCAAAGCGAAGTTGCGCCGCGGCCCATTAAATTTCGATGCGGCGAGCCTAATTGAATTACGGTGCCGCAGGACCCCCTCCCTTTTTTTCGAGTGCGCGCGAGAGGCGCATTAAATTTCTCCCGCAGCAGTCCCCCTTTCACCGCGGAAACGTCTCGAGAAATCGCACGTCATTCCGCTTAATGGCTAATTCCTGTGTACGGGGGCCACATCGGTCACGGCGCGCGGTCATAATGCACCGATGATCGTTTCTTGATGAATGTTGCCGGGCGGAAAGGCAGAGAGACGCACGCTAATTTACGAGACTCGCGAGAACTCGATCTCTTTCTCTCTCTTTCTCTATCGACCCCTCGTTCTTCCGGCTAATAATAATACGTCTGGAAATTGTTTAACGCGTTCCACCGGCTTCTCGAGGTTCATCGGATCGGTTTCTCCTAAATTCGGACGCCAGTCTGATGCCCTCGAAGCGGTTCATCCGTAAACCTGTTTTCTCAAGATTCCTTTTCAATTTTTCATTTCATCTCGGTAGGAATGTCGTCCATTCGTCTGTTAAGCTAGAAGAGTATTGAAGGCTGAAATTGAAGGCATTCGAATATATTTTTCACACGTATTTTCCCCGTGAAAAGTTAACGTTCTGTTTTCAATTTCTTCTAGACTACATTTAGAGATTTTGACAAGAAGCAAAGATTAATATCGATCACTTAGATAATTAATTAAAGTTATAGGGAAGTACTTTTTGCCGAGGAAATACGTTTATGAAGGGTCGCCTTAACATCGCCACTGAAAATCCTACGGATCAGATCCTGAAAGTTAATTTGCGTCCTCTTAGCCTGTAGATTAGTAAAAATCCACTTTCACAATGTTATTTAACTTCTCGTCGATTTCACAGGCTTCAAATTTTGATAGCCGCTGATATTTGCAAAACTGTTTCGGCTCTAAAAGCAGCGAGAACGGAACTTTGAGGCCAAAGTAGTCGCATCACCAGAATAAAGCCCGTTTTGGCATCTCAGCTTCCACCGTGTCGTCGAATTCAAGGTTTAACCTGCGGCCAGAATTTCGGGCCGGGTGTCGGGTATTGGCGACACGATGGAATCACTTCTCGATAGGACGCGACGTTGTAAATCGCAACGGCCGTTCGGCAACCCCGCGTCTCCCGCGCGGTGAAACGTGCACCGTGGGTTGGCGAAAAAAAAAAAAACAGCTCGCTCATCGCCGTGTTGCCTCGGTCACGTTCGACGAGTTTTCATCGTTCACTGGAACAGAACGCAATCGTACATACGCCGCACGTTGCCGTAAATAGTTTTATATACGCGCATGCATGCATACGCGTCCGTATACATACTTGATGTATGGATACACACGACCGGCGGCTTCTGCCGCGACCGTCACTCAATGATACATCTCTCGCTGAATTAGTGCCGCATTCTAACGAAGATTCAATGGAGCGAGAGCGAGCGGTTCGTGTCGCGACTCTTGAAACCTCGGCGTAGCGAAGCGCGCCGAACGCGATTTATCCCGCCGGAAATGCCCCCTCCTCGGATTTCGCGCGAACGAAGGGACTTTCCCTCACTCCGGAAAATCGCCGGCGAAATTCAGCCGGCCGGAATTACCGTCGCACGCGTTACGGGTGTCACACGGCGCTATATTGATCTCCCGTTGAGCAAAAATAATACATTGTATATGCATATTCAGGTGTAAATATTCATAAGTCGCCGGTGTATCGCAGGCCCGGTGTCAGAAGCACGAACTCCGGTCTCCGACGGGAGTTGCGGCACGGCGATAATGGCAACGACGGCGACGGTAATAGCAGCGATAGCTGTGACGACGGCCGTTTAAGTCGCGAATAATTTCCCGGCGGATACCCGGCCGATCTATGAAGGGCGCGTGATATCTTTCGCCCAAGTCGATGTGCCGCGCGAGAAAGCCATTATCGGGCGAGAACGACGAGCGACGCGTGTTGTTTGCAAATCGGAAGATTGCAGCCCCCCTCCCACCACGGTTCCCGTCATTCACCGGATGTCGATCGATCCGCTCTTTCCTGAATAACGGGCACGTATAGATCGCGTCACGTTGTATTTGTGCGAGATATCGGCGACTTTAGTTCCTGCGACGACGGTGTTTACGGGACGACCGACGAGCAACGTGTGTGTGTTACCTGAGTCGAAATTTTAATGCCGCTTCGACGATTCGTTGGAGAAGTAGTGGTGATTTTTTGGTCGAAATGTTTGCAAACATGACTTACACTTTACCGAGAGAATATTCATTAATCTTACGTAATGATGAGAAACTTGTAAAGAAATCATCGTTTCTTGTTCCTTGATGGCTAGAATTGCCCGTCTCAGGCATATTGAGATACTGTTGAAGCGAAAAGAAAGTTTTTCATGTGCCCGATCACAGGTGTCATTTTGTGGACACGTCCCTTTATTTATTAATGTATTCCGCGTTACTCCATTAATGAAGCTTTATGTATCAACGAACGTACGGAAAGCTCGTCCGATCGTGCGCGAAACGTAGGAAAGCGCGACCACCCGGGCCGCGTTGCGCTTAAAGCGGATGGATCAGCGGCCGAGCTTTCCCCTTTCCATGTCTCTTCCCTAACTAGAGGCCACCCCTCCCCCCCGTCCACTGCCTCGCACCCCCTTTTTGACTCCGTCCCTTCGTCAGCGGATAAAACCGGTATGTCCTTAATTTGGAGAATTCGAGGAATTTGCGGGCTTGACCCGCGCACCCACGTGGGCCATGAGAACGATAGAGCGAGAGAGAGAGAGAGTGAGTGGGGGGGGGG